CGGGCAGCCCTTTCCCCGTGGCTGGGAGTGGGAGGGAAGAGGGGGCGGAGTTAGGGCGGGGAAGGGGCGGAGTTGGGGCGGGGCTGGGGTGGGGAAATGGGCGGGGCCAGGGCCCGTGGAGGGTCCTCTTTTTTTATTTCATAGATATGGTAACCCTAAGATCAATGGAAGTCTTTCTATTTACTTCAGTTGGTTTGGGATAAAGGCCACAATGAAATGCAACCTTATAAGCAGGGCACTCCCATTTCCTGCACTTCAAAACAACTTTGCATGAATACAAGAACTATTCTAATTTTGAAATGTGTTTACTTATAAGAGCACAGATTTATATATTTTTTTCCAATGTAGTCTGTTTCAGTGCTTTTCCATCTACATATTTGTTTCTCTGTAAACATTTCAGAGTGTACGTTCATTGTGTATTCATGCAGACACCACGCCAGGAGTGCTATAGAGTACTACAGTTGTTCAAAGCAACCAGACTGGGGTGGGCAGGTGGATGGAGGGGGAAGTAATCCAACAGCTCTTTTTACAGGATGAGCATTTAAAAATATAGTCTACATAACTGAACGAAAAACAGTTTTTTGTCAGTGTCATACAACGTGGAAAAAATAAATAAATAAGATGCTTCTTGAAAATGTTTACGGCATAATACTTGTTTCAATGACAAAGGTCTTGCTGATAAGTATAGTTCTTTATGTAGGCACTTTTAAAAAAAAAATCAATATCTGATTTTTCTTATTGTCAGATTCCTATATTACATTCAGTAAATATTAAAAACAACAGATTACATTTACTAGTCAGGGCAACAATGTCAAACTTCATATAAAACAAAAATTATATCAAAGAAAGCACAAAATAGATTAGTATGTTTAAAAGTTGATTAGCTAGTACAAGGAAGTATGTCATCTTTGGAAGAACTTTATGAATTGAAGAAAGTGACTTGAAGTGGGAAGTTATTACTCATACAAGCGAAGGACTATTTAGCAAGGGCATAGACAACAAGAGACCAAAGATACATTTAAGACTACAAAGTCAGTACATTCCTGCCTTCTTTTTGTGCTACTGTTAGCGTGAAGAAAAGTCCTAATTATTCTATTCAATTAGACATCTTAAATTTAAGAGGCGGGTGGACAAAGACAAGACAATCATGTATTCACCAAATATTTTAATCACTTGGTTAACCTAGAGTTACCAGACAGTGAGCAAAAGACATAGCCTATTGGACATTATTTGGTAACAACAGGAAGCAATGCTTTAACTAGTTGCACTAGGTTAGAAAATAAACAGAAGAGTGCTCTTTGCATCTAGCAAAGGTTCCGAAATTTGGGGGCTATTTTAAAACAGGTGTGGACTGCAACATGCTCATTTAACCGATTTTATTTCCTGGGCAATACAAGGATTTTGCTTTTTAAAAAAATCTTTTAGAATTAATAAGTGGAGCTCGTTAAAACCGATTGTTTCCAACTAAAACTGAATGTGGTTTGTTTATTAGGGAAATCAGGACCTGATACCGTGATACACCCCCGCCTACCCACGCACACACACACGCTTCAGTGCCTGCTTGGGAAGAATCATGCCAACAACATACTAGCAGAAGAGGGGCTATAATCTCCCCCGCTGGGGGTGTCACAATACTAACTGTAGCAGCCCCCATCCCCGCGCAAAGTCCTGCCCATCGTCAAGAGAAATCCCGCTGCAGTGTGGTCACAGCCGCTACGGGGCCAGGCTGACGCTCCCTCTCGCACACGGGGGGGGCTGGGCTGTTATACGCCGAGACAAATGCAATGTACTCACCGAGCTCGGAAGCCACCTTTTGCTCTAACGGGAAACTCCTACGTGAGCCAAGCTCCGGCTCTGCCAGGGCGCTGCTGTCACTGTGCTATAAATACCAGCCGATGGCTGGCCCGCGTCCTTCTGCTGTTGCTGCGCCGACCGTACAGGGCCTCCCTCCTTGCCAACAGCCTGCGCAGCGCTCGCCTCTGGGGCCGGCGGTGGGACCCGCTGCCTGCCCGGAGGGGTTCGCAGCTGGGCTCCTCTCGCGCGCCCACAGCCCGGGGAAGCAGCCGGGCAGCTCCAGGGAGGGGGCGGCTGCTGCCGCCTCTCTGCGGGGCCGAGTGAAGGACGAGAACCGAACACACAAGCAGGGGTGCGTGGCAGGAATCTCATTTCCGCCGCTCGGGGAGAGACGCGGAATATTACCCGCCCCCGGCCTGCAGGAATGCGGCGGCGGCCAGAGCCGCTGTGCGTGGAGCAGAAAACACGCGTGGATGCTTCCGAGTTTTACCGGGTGTTGTTCAGTATCTAAGCGCCACCTGTGCAATTGCGCGGCTCCCTTCTGAGCCTCTTGCGCTGTAGTGCGCGGACTGCTTGGGGGCTTTTCTCTTTGTTACACAATGCGAGACCCTCTGTTCCCCCAGGAAGATGTTGGAACTGGGAGCCGGTGGCTCAAAAGTAATTGTGGGTGGGGAGGCAATGGCTCATCAGGCCCCATGGAGATGGGTTCCCAACACCAAGCTCTGGCCGCTGAACTCCAACGTTGTACTGGATAGCCTTGTATGAGATCTTATACATGGGTGAATTATTAACCCTTTTAGGGGCACATCTGGGGCACCCCTAGAAGGACCAAAGGCAGTTTAAAATGTGGGAATAACAACAGTGGAGTCCCCTCTCTCTAGAGGACTCAGCAAGCTCTGAGGTTGTAAAGAGGACCTCTAGGGCAGTCCCATGTGAGGGACATTGTCAGCAAGACAGGGACATGGTCAGCATGGTCATGAATCAAAATCATGCATTTAGTGGGGAGCAGTGGTGCACATCCATTACTGCTGTATTATTGGCTGAAACCTAGCTGCCCAGCAGTGTGGCTAGCTGAGGTTGCCCAGACTCTTTAGTGCAGATATCTTCCCCAGGATTTGATCCTTAGAGCTAGCACCCACAGATAAGCTTCTGGAATGCTATCCATAAATTTGCATTGCAACATAGATAGTAATGCATAAAGCAGGGCCAGTACTAGGGTCCCATTATTTTCTGCGGGTGTGTGTGTGTGAAAGTGGGTATTTTGGGGACCCTAGATGTCACTATTTAAAAAGACCAAACCATCTTCCTGAAGTCCAGGGGCTAGTTAGTTAGATCCCTGGAAAATATTTGATTTTAAGAGTTTAGGAGAGTAAAATTTGGCTACCGTGTCAGTATTTTGCTGTGATTTATAATTTTGGCCTCTCTGACAATACTTTGGGGGCCCTTTAAGATAGTTTTGGGGGGTAAATGTCTCTCCCTGGTAGTGCTGGGCCTGGCCTAAAGCATTTGAGGCAAGGTTTAAGTTGCCTGGGCATTCCTGATTTTTTTAGTACTTCACTTTGCAACCTTAAGATTCTTGTACTGTAAAGGGAAAGTTCTGTTGTTGTTTTTTAAAAGAAACATAAAAACAAAGAAATTCCATCATATTTGACTATTTACTAGCCAGCACTAGAACACTGCACAATATATTCACAGTGGGATTTCTTGTGTGCAACCACATCGTGTATGAAGTCCTCCTCCTTCCATTCAAAACATGAAAGTGTATTGGAGGGGAAGTGCTCCCCAAAAAGGCCAGATCATAT